GCCTGACACCAAAATATCTTCCCTTCCATACAAACATTAAAATTCTTCCTTCATTGAGGTTCAAACTGTTCAAATGTTTTCTTTTTCAGTATCATAAGGAGGGACACAGTCAAATAGTTTACTAAAATGAGATCTAACCATAAACCCAGACATTTAAAAGAGTATGGAACACTCTCAGCAAGTTCCAATTATTTAAGCTGAAGAAAAAATAAAAAAAATATTCAAATGACAAATTGGACAAATAAGAAGCTATCACTAGTGTTGATTACAAAAGATAAAATATAAATTAAAAATAAGTATTTTTTTGTGAAATTTCCCACCCAGTCAGATTTTTTATATGCATTGGTATCACTGGTGTAGTACAAGTTTTGGTTGAATGGTGGCATTTCTACATTTATAACAGCTGTGACAACACCCTAAGTTTGACCAAACATCTAGTTCATTGATACCATACTCCATCCTTATAATATTATTAGAGTCCTACTGTGCATCTAGATTTGGATCATTTGTTTAATATAGATCGGAACCCACTCAATACCATGACTTAAGAAAAATATTGTGGTAATATGTTCTATCATTTTTATGTTTTGGTTAGTTCTTTGAGATTACTTCCTTAAAATAATGGAAAGTCCAATCTACATAACAATAACAAATTAGTTTATTTCTTTTATCATGTTTCTAGAAGCTACGTTCACTCTGACACAACTTGTAGGCCAATTTCACAAATAATATTTCAATGAAAATTCCTCACTAATGATACTACGACTAACAAATAAACTTCCTTGTACAATTTCACAACTAACCAATCAAGTAACTGAACATGCACAACAACTAACACCTATCTGAATACTTCAGTGAATGAATTGAATTCAACTTGCTTCTCCAATTCTCGTATTTTTATATTTATCCTTTTTTTCTAAATATTTTGCAAAGTTTCTTGGTCATTAACATTCTAGATGTTCTAGGACTACTTTTATAAACTTTCTAAATTTACCATCAACATCACGTTATTATCTCCTTTTAGCAAACAGTAAATTAAATCATTGAAAATATAGCTTACGGCACTGCCCCTTTTCTGAACTGTGAAGTCCCTTGAACAATTCTAACATATGAATAAAACAGTACTCTAAACTGTGCATTCACCAAATCTTTATGGTGGTTTTCTCATCCAAGGTCCATGATGTGCAAATGGGATTTCCACTTGTCCCTTATCATCACTGGCTATTCTGTGCTTGTGGGAGTTCATTCGAAATAGGTGATCGAGTGAATCCACTGGAGGTTCCATGGTTGATAATCCTCCGAAAGTAATCTTGACAGAAATCCTGGTTGACTTTCCACTTACAAATTATTTTTTGAGTTACCTATGTGGTTGTTCTCTCACTGATGTATCCCCAAAGATTATCACAGTTTAGACTGCTCGTTTTAGCTTTTGTACACCACATTATTAATTCTTTTAAGTACAATATATGGACCTACCTAGCCTTCTTAACTTTGGAGTTTGACCTTTCTTGTGGCAGAATTGTATTGCCATAACCTGTCACCTTGGTGGAATCCAGTCTTATCAGCATTAACACCATAGTGATTATTAACTTTTTATCACAAACTGATTAAAGTTTTTTCTGAGAAAAGTAATGTACGACATTGACGGTGTTCTATGATCTCCCTACACATTCTGTGTTAGACTACCAAGTAAATATTTTTTGAACACAAGAATAAAAGATCCAATAGCACTACAAGTTCTTTCCCAAACATCAGTGATAATGTTGTGTTAACTGTAGCTTCATATATTGTTGTCCAATAATTCATAAGTAGCAGTAGAAGATTTTGATCTCATGTTTTCTGATGTTTTTCTACATAAATGGCTAATTGATATAACAGTGTACAGATGTATCTCTTCAGCATACTATCAGAAGTATGATGAAAGGCAGTTGTCCTGGTCGTTTTTTATTCCATGGATCTGAGTGAAGTTCCATTAGAACATAAAATCTTTAAATGAATTAATTGACTAGTTTCCTTGTTTCTTTCTACTTCCTAGTTTGGAACAGCATATGCTTCTGGTCATTTGGTGAAATAAGCTATCCCAACCATGATTTATGTATTCCCACTGATATTTTGTGAAAGAGGACTAAGAACAACAACTCTTTCAAGTGGTGGGTGCTCTAACACAAAACTGCTGTAGTTCTCTATGCTGTTTCTTTCATGAACCTTTTCACTCACAGCATAGTTCACACAATTTGCAATAATTATCTACAGATCTTTGTCACCCAACCCAATATAAGTGTTTTTCTTACTCTTTCCAGTGTATTTTTAACATTTACTTTTGAAAGATGAGAATATCACTTAATGTTGTGGAATGGAGATAATGTGAAAGTACCAACTGAAGTCATTTAAGTCTACTGGCATCTTCCTATTTCTGACATAACATGCACTCTTATAGGCATAATGAATCCAACTGTGCCCACTACATCTTTGTCTTTCAGCTGTTTGGAGTGACTGTTCACTATAGACGAGTATCCCTACTAAAGGTGTGGCAATACATTATGAGTATCATATTATGAAGCCACGATACAATTGTATTGCTACATCGTCTGATACGATACGATTTATTACATTTGGCCCATCAGTCAATATCTGCAATAATTTTCTTATTTAAAACGCAATAGCAACAGTGGCAATATTTTCAAGAATAACTGCGGCCTGTGCTTTACCAAGTGTAACTGACACTAAATGAGAAATGACAACGTATTGAAACTGGTCGGAGTAGTATCAAACTACAATGTCTAACTGTCATCAGTGTTTTGCAATTGTAGTTTCATCAATCTCCAAAGTGTATGCTAAAGCTGAATCGGGTATCTCATTTTTAATAATATTTCAAAATGAGGTCGAAGTCCATCATAAAGAATCCTGCTTGCTTTGTTACAGTTACATTCTATAGCACCAGCATTATTTGAATCTGGAGACATTACTGGAAAAGCTGGAACAACTTTATTACAAACACTGACTTCAGCAGCAGTAATCTACTCAGATCTGATCACTACTTTTGGCAGCCTGTGCATGAGCACAATGTTAGTTTGAGAAGTTTTCAGAAGTTAATAATTTTGTCTTTGTCATGATAGCTTTAAGCACCTGGTATATGTGATTTCTTTTCTGACTGTCAATGCAATGCATCTCAACACTGTGATTTCACATCTATATCTGTCTCACGAATTATACAATGCACATCTCTTAGGGATCTGATGCACCAAAACCTTATTTCATTGCCATTTTTATCTTAGCCAATCAGCATAGACTCCTTAAAAACTTGCCTTCTTGGTTGATTAGACATGTTCACTCAATAATGCATCTAAAAAAAAATATATATTCTAGTTTAAGATATAGATATCGTATATGGATACTGATAGAAAAGCATAAAGACATGCACAACTAATATGCAAATATGGTACGGTGCTACAGTATTACATGCAACTATTTTAACTTATGGCCAGGTACAAATGGTCTTATATAGGAAATAAAAACTGATGTGCTAACACATTGAATTAACTAAACATGCAAGAATGGGTACAATTCATGAAGTATACATATATCTATATATGGACCTTTTGCCTTCTTAAGAAACAGTAACACTTACCATAAGCCAAGCACAAACACATTTGAAGGCTTCACTTCACTGGCATATAGGTTTTAAAGTGAAATTTTCACACATAATCGAAATCAGTATTGTGAGTTACCTATGACTATTCGTAATATGGTAGTAGTCTCAGAATGCCCACAAAGGCATATTGCTGTTTCCCATTGGTGATCAACTTTGAAATAATGAGTATTAGCACATGTAGCTTTGTATACAAGATCTTTTGCATAAAATTATTTACGTACAAGATTATAAAATAGTAAAGTTACTTTAGTGAAAAGTTCAAAAAATTACAATGCACTAAAGTGTGAGACTGCAGGTCGTTCTGCTTTCTGTTGTAAGATAACATAAGATAGCAAAGCTAACTAGTGTTTGCTAATAATCATAATTTGTTACAAGTCATTCTTTACCATTTATTAACACATCATGTCATGTAAGTGCTATTAATGTCACATACTATCACAAATTTTATATAGTCTAATTTTAGCACATTTTGTCACATAAATTATGTTTTTGTCACATTTTCTCACAGCAGACCATCACTTGTATTCTTGACATCTCAGCATAGCAGAGCATTCTCAGGTATAGGACATCACACCATGGTAGAGTATCCTTTAACATCTCAACATAGCAGAGCAGACCTATGATACATAGGACATCTCAACATAGCAAAACATCCACAAAGACATGACTTTTCATGATAGTAGCATATCATAGGTCAGAAAGCATCCCTTGATATAGTTAGTCTTGCTTCTGTGGTGAGAAAAAGTCTAGTCTGGTAAAAGATGCTTTGCAAAATCATTTAGTGAAATATGTTTTAATAAATGAGATAGCCAACATAGATTCTTCAAAAAGAAATACTGCTAACTTTTTAGAGGATGTTATTTGTTATCTAGATAATGTAAATGGTGTACCTAGATTTTGACAAGGTTTTGATAAGGTGTCACACAGATTAACTAAAAAAAAACCACAATAATGGAGAGGTGAAATAAGACTAGTAGAGTAGGGCAGTTGAGTAATAGAAGGAAAAATATTATATTAATGGAGTTTAATTACACTCGACCTTTGTTACTACTAGTGTGCTTCAGGGGACAATGCTTGCCTGCTTGAACCTTTACTTTTTCTTATTTACATTAAGACCTCTTAACTGGAGAAAAGAAGAGCAAGAAGTGATCTTATGGAAGTTTACAACATTATTCAAGAAACTGATGCAATGTAAAAGATATCATTACTGGAAACCATCACAATCACTTCTTTTTAAATTCTTTACTATGTACATGTGTTGTTAACAAAAATTCATAGTTGTAGTATTAGAACACCAACCAAATATATATCATTAACTGCTTTATTTTCTGAAACCAATAAAATATAATATGTAGTATTAAGTTAAATCTGCAAAAAATTACAAGAAATAATTAGAATATCAATCAAATATGTATCATTAACTGCCTTATTTTCTGAAATCAATAAAATATAACATGTGGTATTAAGTTAAATCTGCAAAAATTTGCAAGAACATAATAGGTTTATTTACAAGTATATATCAACTGCTACCTTTATATGAATTATCAAGAAAGTTCTTATTTGCATATATATGGCTTAAAAAACAATCATGATCATTCACATACATATATATATATATATATTTATAATGATACAAAAATACTCTTTAAGCTGTTTTCTTGTTTAATTAAGTTCTGCATGAGTCTCATTACATAATGTCACAGTTATTTAGTGAAGGACAAGTTCTCTTCTTAAAAAAAATGATTTTTTTCTCTCTGTAAATGCATTTATTTGGTACTCACATAGAAAGACTAACACAGCCCATTCTTCAAGAATCTCATTACACTGTTAATGCAAGCCTCATATCCAAAACTAACCAACATTCTGGATGTTTTCATCTGCTATTGCTGGTTCCTCTTGACATACCATATCTACAGGGCTAGTTTGGAAAGTCTGTTGTGGTGAGGTCCCTGTTGGGCTATTCAAGGTTATATTCTCAAAGCTAAGTAACTGTGGTAACACTTGTCTCAAGGCTGCAAGTCCTCGACAAACTATTTCTGAATCCTGATACCACTGGCGTGCTTGTTCTTCATTATGGGAATTAGGCACTTCAACAACCAATCCTTCCTGGGGTAAGTAAAACAGCAGGTTATTTGAAACAGACTGGGAGTCAGCCAACAAAGTCAATGCTTCTGAAGTGGTATTAGAACTAGGAACTAGCACTTCTGATACTGGGATTGCTACTACGTTTCTTTGTTGCTGGATCACTTCTAGAGATTCTGTGGCAGATGGAGTCAGCAACACTTGAAACTGACAGCTGGAGTCTGTCACAGATGCTGCATTAGGAGAAACAGCCTGGATATGACTTAGGGTGTTTATATCAGGTAAAACAAAAGCATGTGCAGAGTGATTAGGCTGAGCCTCTACATCTGTAGATGGCACTATAACTGTCTGAAAAACAGTTCCTTGGCTAGGAAGAGCTCTGTTGGCAGGAACAATTATTGTTTGTACCTGTTGACCAGACTTTGCAATACTGCTATTAACTGGCAACACAATTGGTTGGAGTTCTTGAATACTATTTCCTCCAATGCTACTAGGAACCAAGAGGGTCTGGACTTGCTTCCTAGGGTCAAATACAATAGTGTTTTCAGACAATAAAGCTGTCTGAAGCTGTTGAATACTACTCCTTCCACCATTGCTAGGAACCAGAAGTGTCTGGATTTGTTTCCTAGAGTCCAACACTATGTTTTCAGACAATAAGGCTGTTTGGAGCTGTTGGATACTATTCCCACCACCACTATTTGGAACCAGCACAGTCTGTACTTGTTTCCTAGAGCCCAACACTATGTTATTGTTAGACATGAGAATAGTCTGAAGCTGACTCCTAGGGTCCACTGATGAGCTAACAGCAGGAAAGAGTATAGGTTGAGCATGGTCTCTATTCACTGGGATTGGCATGACTGTTTGCATGTCAGGAGTCATAACATGATATTGGTTATGTGACAGAGCTCCAATATTAAATGCTGGTGCAGAATCATGTCCTCCAGATTCACTGGGAATGACAGAAAGAAGAGCTACGTCTTGAACTGGCTGGCTGGGTAGCAGAAGTGTCCTGACATGATTGGACACTTGACTATTGACTGGAAGAGTAAAGATGGTTTGAGCTTGACCTGCAATATTAAAAAATGTGCCAGGTTGTTGCAAAAACATTGGAACTTGGTTTAAAGTATGTACTCCCAGTGATGCCATTATTTTTTGTTTGGCCATAACATTTTAGATCCACAAAAATAGTATTATAAAAAGCACTGGATTTCAACATTACTTGGGCACTTTCCAAACCTGTTACAAAAAAAAAGAACATTAGATTATTAACTTTTCCACACTTTGCTAAAAGTTACTGAAAGAAATATCTCATTATTTACCATTTTTGTGTTACTAAGTCACTGAAAGAAAGAAAATCGGATTGCTCATCTCTTTAGAATGTGAAAAGTTACTGAAAGAAATAATAACAGATTATTCATCTCTTTAGGGTGTTTCTAAAATAACTTGACAATAAGAGTATCAGATTTTCCTGTTTTGGAATCCAGATAATCAAAATGCACCAAGTCAAGAATTAAGTAACTTTTAAATAGCAATAGCTTGTCAAAGAACAAACCTCTACTGAGGTTTCTAATTATCAGCTCTGGATAACAGTCACTCTCCTGTTGGATAGCAACTTAACATATTTTTTTATATATCAAACATTTTAAACTGTACATAAAATCTAAAAGGTGACAAATCATTACCTTTATTTAGGTCAACATCTCATTCACAATCTTAACAACAAAAAAGGTAACAGGACACTACCCCATTTAGATCATCCTCCACTCACCACAAAACCATTCAAATCAGAAAACAAATTTTGATGTAGCTATTCACATCTAATCGACAAAAGTTTAAAATAACTAAAGCTGTACATAACATATCAACAGGCAAATCATTTTAGATGTTTATAACTGAAATTGAAAAATAATCTGTTGAAGAACAAATCTACATTTATGATTCAAAAACTTTAAAATTAATACAGAACACAGACAATGTTTGACTTTACACATTTAAAAACATTTTTGTTGAGACTGATCCAGGGTCCTCGGGAAAACCACTCTTATGTTTCAATAGTTACCCATCCTCTTCACTCCTGACTTGTTACAATTATCCAGGTACACATATACATCTTTGAATGTCACCATGTACTGCCATTTTTCCCTGCCTAATTACTGTTTTATACAGTTGGTCTTCCTTTCCTGGTTTGTAGAAGCAGCTTGTGTCACTTTTCCAGATATAAATCATTCTTTATAATGCATACTATTTCCCTGGGCATGTGGATGGTTCTACCAATGACCTTCGTGTTATTAGATTCTTGTCTTTTACAAGATGCCACACTTTGAAGTTGAAGCAGGTCTCTTTCTGGATAGTTCTAGTGCCCCAAGTTGATATATGTTCCTTTGTTTTCCAATGCCATTAAGTACAAGGGATATCACAGTCATTCACAAATTTAGAAATCTAATTGTTCAAGAAACTATCCAAGATATTGACCTAAATAATAAGTATATGTTCCAAAACATACCTGAGGGGTTTACAAGTCACATTCTCCCAATAAGAAAAATCACATCTAACATCACTTGTTGCTTTCTATAATCAAGCCAAATTTGTACTTACTTCTTAACTTTTATACCAAATCAATATATATCCAACTTCCTAATAAATTTTTAAAGCTTCAATTTAACAAAAACTTCCTGAAAGTCAATATGTTCTTGAATAATTCTATATTTATAAAAATCAATGGTAAAAAAAAAGAGAACATTTAGTCTTTCAAAGTTGCCCTTGTACACCCACCCTTGAAGAAAGTAAACATTTAAACCCACCATTTATTTATCAGGAACTAATTCATTTCCCTATAAACTCTTTCAAAGTGCTGGCATCCACTATTGCCAAAAGCAACATATTCTGTAAGTCAGTCACCCTGTTACAAAGTACAACTGTCTTAACTGGAGCCAAGTCTTAAACTTGTAAACTTTCATCCTAATATCTTCAGAATACAGTACAAAGAAATAAAAGGCCTTTAAACTTTTACCTTATTGATACTTCAGATAATCTTGTAAATTCAGTAACATCACCTCTTATTCTCCATTTCTACAGAGAAAATGAATTAATATATCTTTACCTATCCCTGTAATACAGCCCTTTATCTCCAGAATTAGTGTAGTAGCTCTCTTCTGAACCCTTTCCATTAACTTCCATTCAGTAAGTAAAGTAAAAGTGTACATAGTACTCCAAGTCAGGTCCCTAACTATTGATTTGTATAGGGATAATTACCTCTTCAAATTGGTAATCAATGCCTATACACACATCCTAAAATATATTTGTTTTTACAACTAGCAAGGAAGTTCTACCTTAATGACTTGAATGATTTATATACCATTGTTCAAATATACTGTCTTCAGTCCACTTAAGAATGAAATTATGGTTGAAATGAAAAATTTAAAAAAATTATTTTTGATTAATTTGACAAAACTATTAAAAATATCTCAAACTTTAACATCATTCCCAGTTTAGCTTAACTACTCAACTTTTCTCAATTTTAAATCTTTTTATAATTTCTGAAAGTCAGCACCAATAAAATTGGAGACACAACTCCTATTTCATGGTTTCAATAAGTAATAATTTTCCTACACTGAAAACATATTTTCGATAGGTACTTACCTCTTCATACATACATAGCTATTCTCCTTCAGTGCTTCCCTCTATATGCAAAATTGTTTTTTCACATGCCATCAGCCTTAAGCTCCCACGTACCCTAAAATCAACTGATTCAAATGCATCTCGCATGCAAATTATCATGTGACAACCCTCCACTAATAAGAGTGTAACACACTCTTCTGATGCATGTGACTCTCTCTATTTGATTCTACTGAACTACCACTTCGAGTTTTGGCAGAAAATGGAAGCACTGGTTTTCAGTGGGGAGGAAGGGCGGGAAGTATAAGAGGAGATAAGTACCTATCGGAAATATATTTTCAGTATAGGAAAATTATAAATTCGATATGGTACATTACCTCTTCTCACATAAAGAGCTAGAATCCCACATTGAATAGGTGGAGAGAAAGAAAGAAGCATCTTTAGAAAGTGTCTGAAGGACTCCTAAAAGAGTAGATTCTCACAGTAGAGGATCATATGTGGGAGACCACACAACTTCTGTACCAAGTATACTCTTTGCCCAGAGGTGTTGCAGACATGGGCAGAAAATGGGTGGAGCACATCCAAATGGGAGAGAACAATGATTGGATAGGGATCCACCACACGCGATATCGGAATCTCAATCCCTTACAGTACATCAATGTAGGTGAGAGTAAAAAAGATGTGCCTCCAGGTGTAGAGTGGCTAGGGCATGACAGACCATACATGGCAAGTCAACTACTTCCAAAACCCAGACCTTCAGGAACCAACATCCACGTGGGGGTAGGATGAGCATCATACCATCAGTAATGAATTCAAATTCGATGACGAGGAACCCACTTTGAGACTAATAATGGCTGGAGACAGCTTGAATGGGTAATGAAGAAAAACTTTAATACAACAGCAAATGTACAACGTTTCGACAAGGTTTTGTCATCATCAGGTACATCATCAGCCTTCAATGGATCCTGTGCAAGATTCCATTTGTCATGCAGAGTCCACTGAAGAGACTGCATATGTGCTTGACCCATGGGGATAAGAGCTTCCAAGCAAGCCCCTGAAAAACCTTCAGGATCTCTGTGGATTGCCTTGGAAAGGATGTTGCTAGTAGACAAGTACCATAGGAAAGGAAAACTGTGCATGGGATAAACAAACAGGATAATCAGTGTCTGCCCACACACACACGGGAAAAATTGATTTTCACTGTTGAGAGTCAAGAAACGAACATTCAGACTGATGGTAGGACAAGGCAAACTGATCTGAAGCATGGAGGGCGAAGCATCCTGGTATCCTAAACCATCTGATAAACAAAATGCTCAGCATGAACCCTAATATCCAGGGAAGGAGGAAAACCAAATAATGAGAGGAGGAGGTATCATGTAACAAAAAAAGACGGATCATACGAAGTCTGGAAAATGGATAAAATAGAACATACTCGAGAAATCATGTCTAGAAAAGCCATTTAGGCCTAGTTGATTCCGCAGTAGGGGTATGAGAAGATATGGCAAAATGAGGTGGTACAAAAAGGCTGTCAAAATCCTTGTTGACCTGAACAGGTTCAGCATGTTCAAGAGGAATAGGGGCAAGATCAGAAGAAGCAGGTTGACTCATATAATGATCAGTCTCAGATGATAGCCAATAAATTCAAAGACGAGTCATCCCCATCTGTAGCCTATGTGAGTGTGCTAGCAGAAGGTATGATATCTGAAGTGGTAACTCGAAATTCGGAATTTATTGTGTAAAATTGAAAATCAAACACAAGTGTTTGACAAAAAAATAATCAAAAACTGGGAAAATAAGTTATCTGAAAAGTCATTATTTGTTGAAGAAAAAAACAAAACAAAATGCATTTCGAAATAATAAGTACAAAAAAATCAGGAAGTCGATTAAATTGGTAAGGCACACAATAAAAAACATCTTGACACGAGTACTGCCAAATGAGAAGTGATAGTTTGTTAGCATCAAATACAGGGAGTCACATGTGTCAGAAGAGTGTGTCACACTCTTATTGTTGGAGGGTTGTCGCTTGATGATTTGCATATGAGACGCATATGAATCAGTCAGTTGTAAGGTACATGGGAGCTCAAGGCTTGTGGTATGCGGATGAAAAAAATTTTGCATATAAAGGGCAGTATTTAATAAAAATAGTTATTTATTTTAGCAGAGATAATGTACCATATCAGAAACACTGATGACATTAATGTTAAGATTGCTAGTACTGTACTCAACTCCTCGGTTTCTCTTTCCACAACCATATTTCAAACACATTCTCCTCATGCTAAGAACTATATATATATTTTTTAAATCTGAAAACATCATTACATTCTTGTGATATAGTGCCTTGGCCTTAGAATAAATATAATATCATTGTCAATGTTGACAATGTCAATTAAGTATTATTTTTATACTAACATACCATTTTTATTCCTAGATCAATATTTAGGCTATCCACCTGCTTCGAAATATCTCAGTCACTTGCCTGAACTGTAACTTTGTCATACCATACAAGTTTTTTGTGGCAACTACCATCAAGTCATTTATGTTTACAAGACACCATTGTCAGACTAAAACAGTTACATCCAATTACCTGATTTTTCACTGTCTACGTATCTAAACAGTTTGGCTGAAATTAATGCAACATATTTACTTCTAATAGCTTCAAGCATATTCTTTCATTAAATGTTACTACAAAAAACATCTATATGATTAGATAATATAGTTATACATTAGCATTCTCTCTCTGTTAGTGATTTAAAATTTTTTTAAACATCATATTGAATGGAGAACTTATGACTTACATCTCTGGTTCAGGTAAGTGACAAGAGTTTAGAAAAGCAGATTACAAATAAAATTTTTGGGCAGGATTTACCCCTTAAAAATCATACATAAAAAAAAATTCATCTTTTTCAATCAGTTAATACCCCAGAAAGAAAATCAATATTTAGTGTCAAAACCCTTTCTCTTAAGAAGTATTAATACCATAACATTTCTACTAAAGTTGCAAATTTATGTATAAAAAGCAGAAGTGTTGTCTCTGCATATGCATAGCTGCTGTTTATGCATACTCGTTTTGACTGACCTCAACTAATCAAACACTGCATGCACTCTTAGGAACCCTCAGAATGGGTGTCAAAGCCATTTGGTCTGGCCCCCCACATCACTCCCCAGGGAACCACTGCCTGTCTGTCAGAGTGAGTCCTACTTCATAACAGTATAATGTATCTTTTGCTTAGATATTTTTCTGGTAAGCTAAACCAGAGCCAGAACATTTAATTGTAGTGATAAGGAAAAAAAAATGTAACTGACCTATGCTATTGTTCTGGTAAGCACAGCCAGGGCTAGAACTTTGAGTAAACCAAACTCAATTATTATAAATTTATCATAATAATACCATATGAGGTGTCTAATGTCAGTTTTGGTGATAAAGTACAGTATATAGGAAAAAATGGGACTTATGTACAAAGTTATTAAATTCATAATTTCTTTAGTAAAAAGGGGAGTATGATATGGTAATCCTACATTCTGCAAAATAATTATAATTTACGCATGTTTTCCTCTGTTTTTTAATTGAAAGTGAAATATGATATCATAAATGAAAAGCAACATGGATTCACCAGAGGAGAATCTTGCCTTAAGGATCATTTATCTTTTTTTTAAGGATGTCAATTATCTGAAAAGGGTGTGGACATGGTGTTCTTTGATAAGGTGCCACACAAAGTATCATCTAAGAAAATCCCACTGGTAGGGATTGAAGAAAGAATATTTAAATGGATTGTAGTGTAGTTGGATGGGAGGCAATAAAAGGATGCTATTAATGGAATCCAGTCAAACTAGACCCTTGTTATGCTACTAGTGGAGTACCTTAGTAGTTGGAGCTTGGGCCTTTGTTCTTTCTCATTTATATTAATGATCATATAAGTGCACAATTAGTAGTTTAGGAATGTTTGCTAATGACTTTAAATTTTTGGGCATTTCTAGTTCTATTGAGGATGTTGAGGTATTACCAAATGACTTGGATCAACTGGTAAGTTCAACAAATATTTAGTAAATGACCTTTAATTATAATAAATGCAAGGTAATGTAGCTGTAGAAAAACAGTCAAATTAGAATGAAAGGGTCAGTCATATAAATATAACAGGACTAGGAAAGAAAGTGAACCAGCCTGTACCATCAGGTACATTATGCCAACTGTGTGGATGCTGTAGTTCTGCCAAGGCAACTTCCAACGAGCCCTCGAGGATAATAAATCTCGGAAGATGTATGTGTTTTGTTCACTTGTTTTTGAATTTCACACAAATTCAGAAGTGATAGAGTAGAAGGAAAGCAGTTAGTCAAAATCACTAACTGCCAACTCTCGGTCTACTCTTTTACATATGAAAAGTGGGTTTGATTGTCACTATATAGCCAAACTATGTAAAAGGGGAAAGCTTGTAAAGATGTACCGCTAAAGTGGCTAAGTTAAACAACAAAAAATTTAGGAAAAGTTGGCCCACCCTTTTTTTTGTTCTACAGCTGGAACAAGCAGCAACATAAATATAAAATGGGGGCCAGGTTGTGTTCAATATTTTTCTTGTTGAACCTTTTCTATAAAAGCTTTTTTTTTATTACATCTTTGTATGGCTGTCCCTTTTATTCTAATTTTGACTCATAAAATATTATAACCAGATAGCACTTTTTGTTTTCATTATTAATTAAAAATGAATTAAAAATAAGATTCCAATCAAAATAGGATTTCAATCCCAGCTGTCAAGGAAAGCCAGCAACACATATGCAGCATCATAGATCACCACATCATTCCCTAACTTCTCATTTTCCACATGCCCCTATGCCCTTACATCATCAGTTTTAACCTTAGGATTGTGGAGAGCAATTCACCATTACGATTATGAAAAAAAATATGAATAAATGTGCTGTTGTTGTCAAACCCTAGTTCAGATTAATATCAACCAATGGAATTTTAGTTTCATACTGATTCTCCTTTGTATTGCCTCTTTAACATAGAGAAGTACAACAATA